CTAAGCTGCTTGATTCGAGGACGCATAAAGACGTCTAATAATCATGAAAACACTTATATTCTAAGTGAAATAATATGCCCGGAACCACTACAATGGTTCGTCCCCTGCATGAACCCGTTCGTGACGCTTGAGGGCTCCGGCGTGTTTGAAACTCTTGCCACACCGTTCACACGAATTGGGTTTCACTCTCGTGTGAATCCGTTCGTGATATTTCAGGGCGCCGGCCTGATTGAAGCTCTTCCCACAGTGCTCGCACCAGTACGGTCTCTCTCCCGTGTGGATCCGCTCGTGAGTCTTGAGGTCTCCTGAGCGGTGGAAACTCTTCCCGCACTGTTCGCAGCGGTACGGTCTCTCTCCGGCGTGAATCCGTTCGTGAATCTTGAGATGTGCGGCCAAGCTAAAAGTTTTTCCACACTGCTCACAGCAGAACGGTCTCTCTCCCGTGTGCAGCTGTTCGTGACGTTTGAGGGACCCTAAAACACTGAAGCTCTTCCCACACTGTTCACAGCTGTACGGTCTCTCTCCCGTGTGAATCCGTTTATGACTTCTGAGTTTGCCTGAACGTTTGAAGCTCTTCCCACACTGTTCACAGCAGTACGGTCTCTCTCCCGTGTGAGTCCGTGCATGCATCTTGAGATGTGCAGCCAAACTGAAGCTCTTCCCACACTGATGGCAGCAGTACGGTCTCTCTCCTGTGTGGATCAGTTCATGACACTTCAGAGTTTCTGCCACACTGAAACTCCTGCCACAATGTTCACAGCAGTAAGGTTTCTCTCCAGTGTGAGTCCGTTTATGACGTTTGAGGGCTCCTACCTGCTTGAAACTCTTCCCACACTGTTCACAGCAATACGGTCTCTCTCCTGCATGAATCCGTTCATGAATCTTGAGATTTGTTGCAAAACTGAAGCTCTTCCCACACTGTTCACAGCAGTACGGTCTCTCTCCTGTGTGAATCCGCTCATGACGCTTGAGGGCTCCTGCCTGGTTGAAACTTTTCCCACACTGTTCACAGCAATACGGTCTCTCTCCTGTGTGGATCCTCTCATGACGTTTCAGGGCCCCAGCCACACTGAAACTCTTCCCACAGTGTTCACAGCAGTACGGTCTCTCTCCTGTGTGGATCCGTTCGTGACTTCTGAGGGCTGCTGATTGGCTGAAGCTCTTCCCACAGTGCTCACAACTGTACTGTCTCTCTGCTGTGTGAATTCTTTCATTATTCTTAACTACTCTTTCTTGAATGTTCA